GTGGAACCATCCCAGTGGGGGTGAGCCCAAGCCAGGGTCAGCCACTCCTCAGAAGAGACAGCCACCCAAAGCCACCTGTGCACTGGCCGGGGACTCTAACTCTTGAAAGTTGTATTGATGAAAGCTGCCTGCCCCCTGCTGCCAGGCGCCTTGTCCACCTCCGGGGGGCACAGTGGTGTAGATCTGAGGGGCCACGGTGGCCAAGAAGCTCAGGTTGGAGGCGTCACCTAAGGGTGATGATGCTGCCCACTGGATGCCCACCTGGATGGGGCCTCGGACAGTGACAGTTTCCTCCCATGGGGAAGAGGCTGGTCTTGATGCCTGAGGTGCCCAGAGCTGGTGTTCAAGGGCCACACTCAGACCTGATCCTAAATTACACAAAGCTCGGAGTCCAGGTCCACTGAGCTACAAGGCAGAAAACGGCCCCGGGAAAGAAGCTGGGCAAGGTGGGGGCCTCCCAAAATGCACCGGAAGAAAATGCCAACCCTCTCTCGAAAGGGCCACGGGCAGGCCTGAGGGATGGACACAGATGTCTCATTAGGGAAACTGAGGCAGGGTGGGCTGCTGCGCTGATGAGAGTCAGGGAAAGGGCTGGTCCCTGGAACCAGCACCCCCGAGAGGTCGGCAGGTAGGGCTAGGGCCAGCGTGTGCTGGGGGAGCCCGTCTGGGGCAGGCGGCAATGCACAGCGGTACAGGGCAGGTGTTGGCAGGGAGGGCGGCTCTGTGGCCGCAAGCAGTGTGGCTGCTGTCTGCAGTGGTGGGAGTGGGAAGGGGCTGCAGGTTTCACCCCATGGCCTCTCTCTGCAGATCCGGGAGATGAAAGGCGGGGTCAGTGAGGAGCAGCACAGCCGCAGCCTGGACGATACGCGTGTGCGCCAGCTGGTCCTACACCCAGAGCCCACCTCACCCAGCCACACCTTCCACTGCACCCTGGACCTCAGGCTGGCATCTCCCTGCGAGACCAGGGCCACTCACCCCAGCAACAGGTCCAAGGACTGCCTGGCTCTGGACCTGCTTGGGGAGGCCCCACCCCCACAGGGGTTTGTGGTGTAGGCACCATCCGCCCAGCAGCACCGTCTACACCGCCAGCCTCAGTTGGCTCAGCCCCCACCCACCCACTGCCACATGGCCCTTGGCCCTTCCTGCCCACCGGATGCTGCCCCCACCTCCATAGCCAGCAGGCTCCACAGGCTCACCTGGGACAGGCGTGGAACCAGCTCTGACATCAACCTGGGAGGTGACAGTCCCATACCTCACGCCTGCCCGACCGGGAGCTCCTTCTGTTGGGTCTCCAGGGAGCAGGTTCAAGGTCTGGCAGGTCCAAAGCCATGGCATTGACCTCAGCCCCTCACCCGTCCTAACCTGGGAGAGGTGACAGCTGGACCCCAACCCTGGAGAGAGAGCTCTGACG